GCTATTCTAGTATTGAAAGAGATATTGATGCATTATTGTTTGCAAGATATATACAATATAGACGAAACTGGATTATTTTACCAGTTTATTATAATTATTTTTTTGAATTTCATTATTTATTTAGTTTTGTTTTGTTGCTAATATAAATTTATTTTGTTTAAATCTTAGATTACTACTCTAGCAACAATTTGCCTAAATGGTAGGGAAAAAAATAAAGGTTAATAATTGCTTTATATGCAAATTCAGATGGAAGTGATAAACTTAAACCACTAGTAATTGGAAGATACTTAAATCCATAATGTTTCAAAAATGTCAATCGAAGAAGTCTTGGTGTAATATATAAAGCAAATAATAAAGCATGGATGACAGGAGTAATATTTCAATAGTAGTTAAAAGCATTTGATTGAAAAATGGAAGGATGTAAAGTAATTCTTCTAATAGATAATATACCAAGCCATGTTATTGATAGTATAAATCTTCAAAATACAACTATTTATTTGTCATTCAAGCACCATTATTGTTCAATATTTGTTAGATAGCTTCTAGATCGTTATGAGTCTGGAAATACTCAAAATAATTTAGATATTCTTACTTCTACAAATTTTATTGTAAATGCTTGGCATAATGTTTCCTCTACAATGATTAATAATTGTTTTTATCATACTAACATTCTTCCTGTTACTACTAATTAGAATACTTTTATAAATAATAATATTATAGTTTATATTGATAATAATGATATATTAAGTGAACTACAGCAAAATATAGATGCTTTTCGTTTATAAAATATTATGAATATCAATAATTTTATTAATTATCATGAGGAAGATATTACTGACAGAAATGAAATTCTTAGTGATCAAAATATTGTAAATCTTACAAATCATTTAGATGAACCTCAAGATGAAGATAATAGTATTGAAATGCGTAACTATACACATAAAGAAGCACTTGATGCATTGGATCTAATTACTCGATATCTTTTACAACAGAGTGATAATATGACAAAGTATATCAAAATGATTTCAAAAGTTAGCCAAGCAACAAGAAATGCAAGAAACAACTTATTGCAGCAAGCTAATATTAATTCATTTTTTACCTCTAGTAGTTATAGAGATAATGAAATAATGGAAGAGACGAATTTTATGTTAGAAATAAATGAAGACTCTTCATTATCTAATAAAGATTTTTAAACTTATATCGCTATGCTTTTTTTTTTTAAACCAAATTATGTTAAAAAAAAAAATTTTATTTTATATATTAATGTTAAACATTATCCCTTAAACTGTAAGCAATTCCAGGCAAATTT